CACACACACGTTAATGGAGCGTGAAAACTTCATCCACCCTCAAAATAACCCCACAGCACAGCAAATAAACCACCATGGTTTTGCGTAAGGATACGCTTACTATTAGTAGGGGGTTCGGGCAGATTGGGGATATTATGATGAAGCTTTTGCCCCGGATTAGTCGACAGAAAAATAAATATTTGACCCGCAGGAACATCAATTGATTGGACCTGACCCTCCAACCTGAGTTAGGCAACGTTGCAGGCCCGCGGGGTAATAGCACGCTCCCCTCACTCGGTGAAGGTGATTAAGGGCCACGGACGCAGCTCTTGTTTCCGATTCACTGGTCATCTGACCGGCCCAGTGACCGTAGGGTGTGGACATTGATCTCGGCATTTACTTGTGTTCACTAGAGTAAAAGCCCAATATCTTGGGCGGGGAGACAGTTCTAACTGACGCGGAAATTTATAATTTTAAACTAAGAATTTGTTGGAAATGTGTGCCGAGAGCTGGGAGAATGATGGCATGGATTGCTTAAAATATTTTTTTCATTCTTGTAAATCTGAAATAGTAAAGGTTTATTTCAGGGAATGGGAAAATTAATGCTAATGGATTACTTACAAGACCAAAATACTGTACACAAAGTCGAATCGTAAGACGCAAAATTAGATTCACGAGGACAGGATATGAAAAAGAAGCGTGAATAACAAGGTTTTCTATTTCAACTATTCTTACTTTAGCAAAAAGCTTTTTGGGCACAGACATCAAAAGGATTTTCAATTAAACTCAAAGCAAGCATGCATCATATATAGCCTGCGTTACAATCGCTGGTTATTTACTAGTAGGTTTTAAGTTCCTCTTAATCGGTCAAAACAATGGCAGGCCAACGTGTTTAACAGAAGAAAGAATTGTTGGAACTGTTCTAAGACACATAGAATCGAACCACACAAAGTAAACGGATCATTGAAATGAAACTCACACCAGGCCTTGGTTGAAGTTCAAATGTTCCTGAACTTAGTTCCGGTAGTAATATCAACAACAACACACATGAATGAAGTGCTGCTTAAAAAGTGACCTTAATATGGAGTTCATGTCATGCGGGTTGAAATTCTATCAAGGATTTCGTTGCACAAAGACGCAATTTAAATTCACTTGATATAATTGGATGGAAACAACCCATCCCGTAACAATAAAAAATACGCCTCTTTAAAAAGACGTACATGTATGTGAGCGTGCGCTCGTGCGCGCTTATTTCCTATAGGCTACATTTGAACTGATCTTTTTTCATATCATTTTAAAGATTTTTTTCAAACATAAACGTTACATATTAAAATATCTATGATTAGGTATAAAGTTATTGTGGGCGTATGGATTAGTACCCATATTAAAGCTTCACAGACATAAAAAGTACAGGGTGTCCCCAAAAAGTTCTAACTCTTTGCATGACCATTAATATTTTTTTGTGACTGAGAACATTAGAGTTTACTTGAATGCCATGTTATTTTGTAAATATTCCACAATAAATTTCTTTTTTAAAATTTCTTTTATTAAAATAAAACAATAAGATTCGGATCTCTGTCAATTAACATCTAAATCATAACAATATATATACGAATAATGGGTAATCCGAGAGTGAATACGTTTTGGAACACACTGGATAAGGCGTGTTGGTATTAAGTCGCGCACTCATGGGGTTTTTCTCGAACCAGGAAAACTCTCTCTCTCCCTGAAGCAGACGTCCTGCTCTTTGACATAACCACCGAGGTCTATATCTTATCAGGTCCTCTGCTTTCGGACCTGAAGAAAATGTGGCGCAACAGAAAAACATCGGATATTGGTGGTTCTCAGTTACGTTTGAGAAAATACAATGTCACCCGAGCCAAATATGCCAGAACTTTTGATGCCATATATACCTACAGTAGATATGTTATGTGGCCTCTTCCATATACGCTTTGTTCTGTTTTAGGCGTGCTTTTCGGTAAAATGAGAGTACTTTCTCTCTGTATGTTATAATAGGGTGTCATAGGTGGCATCAAATATTCCAAATTCCTATTCAGAGCCTCCGTTTACCCGGGATTTAAGGACACATGGACTCGGAGTTGAAGCACTCTTACTTCTAGTTGATTGAACGCCGCCTATTTTGAAAACACTATTATTGCATTTGCATGTGTTTAATATCTTTGAGAGAATGTAAGTTCTGGTAGAAATGAAAGCGTTTTGGAGGATATCCATTAAATACAAAATCTTTCGATATATTGAGATATGCATTTTTCTCCCATCGTGTACTTCTCTTAGTTAGGAATGAAGTTCGTATATGTAGGCAGTATATTACGAGTAAGTCTGAGAGAGAGAGAGAGAGAGAGAAATTACCCACATTCAATCATTCAATCCATTTTAGAACAGCAAAATATTTTTGTTTTAGCTATATCCCATGCTAGAGTTCTCTTTGTAACTCAAATTTGAATTCAGTACCATAAGTAGTACACATGCACCAAGTCCTGGTCTCACTCCTTATCTCACTATCCACCACCGCATCCATGGAACTCTCGCTTGCGGATAATTTTGACGAGAGTTTTTCTCCTAAGGGTTTCACAAATCTCCGGCTGAATATCTTGACGAGGCTGTGGTGGTGTGTCGTTTTGTGCATTGTTTTCTCCCCAAAGACATTTGTAAATAAGAAAGTGAATGGGAGGTTAGCTCTTAATGTCTCAATTATTTTCTCTAGTGCGCGAAAAACAGAAGACCTATATGCAGGTCACATCTGTAATTTTTGATATCGTTTCTGCTCCAAACACTGAAACCTCCAACACATTGCTTTAAATATGTAATTAATCAAGTAATTAACTTTATTTACATTGATAAGTTGTTTCAGTACTTATACAACAGGTTAATTTAGAGAAATATAGAAGACTCGTGTATTTGAAATAAATCGTTGACTAATTGCCAGTAGCATTATCATAAATGTCACTGACTGGTCAGAATTCTCTTGGCTCTTACTTGGCACGTTAACATGTCTCTCAACTTTTGTATTTTCTTCCCCTTTAACGTTAGTCAGAGTCTTCCCACATAGCACCATTTGGTACTGTGGTTTTCTTCCCGAGGATATGAAATTCTAACACACCGGATTCTAACAAAAAATCCGACAAATTACTTTGCATGTGCTATAGATTGCAGAACTACTGTAGATAGATCAGGATGGCAATGTTTTAAACCTCTGAGACTGCATATATCGATTGCTAAGCGTACTCTTAACAGCAGAATTAAGCTAGAAAACTAAACAAAGAAATACATAATAAAATATATGAAGAGCATGCGGTGGTAGAGTTGGGGGCATGTGATCTTTTTTTCGCTCTCTTACCACAGGGGTGCGCTAGTTGTCTGGTATACGTACTTAAATGTGGAAAGCGCCCCACAGTGTGATTTTGTACGTATTTTAAAAGGACCCTGATATCAGTGAATAAGCTTTTTTTTATAGGGAATTAGATACCTAGAGATAATTAAAGATTACAACACCTGTATACTCCCTGAACTTCCTCCTCTTCCAAATACAGGGCCTTAAGATACCCTCTACAAGGGTCGCAGTTATTGTTGTGGACATTTTTGCTGAGGCAGCTGACTCAGACCAAAATGGCTGTCTATTTATCTAGAGACATATCTGTGAATATCTGTGAAAAATCAATCTGTCACCCTGGTAGAGGGTAGTGTCAAGAAGGGATAATAATTTATGAAAGAAATAGAATCAACCGGTGTTGAAATGAATGGACTTTAATAATGGATAACATGCATGATCATCCCCTCTCCTTGTTCGTAAAATAATTACTTAAAGGAGCAACTGCCCCATGGCTCTTTGATGTTTTTACTAGCAGTCGACTATTGTTGGTTGACATTTATGTACCCTTAACAGAAGGGAATGTCTGACAGGCTAGATCTCTGTTTATCACTTCGAGGGGCATTTAATTTTTTTTTCAGAAGTTTTGAAAATTAGTTTCATTACCTGTGCACGTGAATGTCGGAGTAGAACCAAGTTATTGGCGACGCCAGTTTGGTGTTCACGCAGACAGGGATAAAACGGGTTATCGAAGGGTTCAATATACATCAGAGAGAATTACGCTTCTGATCTTGTTTTATTTATTCCTGTGTGAATTCAATTCCAGTTGGCACTTGTACCTGTGAACTAGTCATTGGACCACTTGGGGATGTGTCGGTAGTTCATATTTCTGCCTTTTCATAACAAAAATGCAACGTTCAATATATATATTTTTCTCTCTATTAACACCCTCTGTATAATCTTTTAAGTTGGAGGGACTGATGTCTGCGTAAATAAAAAATAGTCTTAGCTAAGGGATTGTTGCTTGCTCTCTTCACTCTCAAACTCGACCTTAAACCAGCCGTTTTAGGATAATGCATATATTTATATATGATTGCCATTATGCGGCAGAGAATTACAGTATTGGGTTGCTAGCAGCAATTTTAACTGGTTTTGGTTATATTTTGGGGGGTTGGGCGGTTATGTGCAACCAACTTTTTTCCATTGTTGGAACACCTGACATGAACGGGCGCATTTCAGTAATCAGTACTGTCAAAGGGGAAAACGTCGTTTGGTCGGGTTACTTTAGGTTAGTGTGAACGCACCCTTGCAGTCTGGCTGTCATCCACCTGTGTGTGTCACCAACTTGCCGTGCCCGCAAGGTGTTGTCCGCCCTCTTTTCTGCTGTAGTCGTGAGAGGTTCCTGATGTTAATTTTTTTCAAGATGTATAAGAATTCGAGCGAGGGAGCGACCGAGAGAGAGGGGGAGGGTTCAGTTACATGAAATATGTGGTATTAAAAGGGGCACGCATGCAAAGGCGTTTATTTTGAAACATTTGTTTAGATCGTAGACGTTTTAACGTAGACATCGTAGACATTAAAATATGAACCCACTTAATTTTTCTATACACACTCGGATGACACACATTTTTTTGTTTCATAAATGCCCTTACCCTCGCAGGCCCCTACAAAAAAAGAAGAAAAAAAACGAAGCATGTTGAACAAATATTGCACCACACTGACAAGTACAGAGACACACTGATAGATCAAATCCATCTCAAAAAGGGAAAAAATTTAACTTCATAGCAAGGACCACTTCGACGACACTCAAACATGTCGGACCGTTATTCGTAAGTGTTCTAGCTTATTTGATATCAATGTATGGGTTTATTAATGATAGCCAGGCTCTAGGGCCGACTCGTGCATAAGTGTCGGGTTAAACTACAGGTGGAGTATGCGGCATCTCGAGTCATCGGTGTCACATCTGACCTGGCACCCGGCCCCTGAATTTTAGATGCCACATGAGCTAGTTTTTGATCTTTCAAGCTTTTATATACATATACATATACATGAACATATATGTAGACTGAAAGCTAGTGACGACGAAGCTGGCTCACTTCAGACCTGAATTTCGAGGTGAGAACCTGTGTAGCGATGACCCAAGGTCACTGGGAAAGATTGAGTAGCTACACGTACCCCCGTCAAAGTGTACGCTTTATCAGAAACACAGATTGATTTTAATATACAGATGAATGATGATACTTTTCTGCACTGTGTCAGAGAAAAGTGCACATAATTACCTGATATCCTGGTAGAGGGTAGTCAAATAAAGTGGGTCACCAAGCAGTGAGTTTACAGGCACAGAGAGGACACGTCAGGAACTTGTCGCGTTTGTGTCAAACGCGTCGCTCCCGACTCTTCCGTGCAGAATGCACCGTTCAGTCAAAAACTCCGAAATTTAGAAAATTCTGAAATGATTGCGATTTGTTAAGAAAATGTGTCGAAACGAGGGCGAAGAATAGTTCACGAAGAGGGGGTCCAGGGAGGGGGTTCTAGGTAACCCATAGATCCCACCGGTAAACATTAAAAATTGGGCTGTGATTTAATTTTGGCAATTTTTATAAAAAGACCAATGCCTAGGTATTGTGAAATTATAGTCCCCTGAAGGGCATTTAAGGGTGTTCACTTTAATCTGTCTACAATACTGAATTTGATTACTTCACTTGATGGGGAATTAATAAACCCGTCTACCGGGCACCCATTAAAATGATTCATGTAATGAGGAAAGAGTTAATAGGCCTACGAGATAACGGTATATGAGCTCAAGGATATACAGAATGCGTTGAGAGTATTCTTTGTAACTAACCACATTAACTATTAGCATACAAATGACATTCACACAAAATTACTGAACCATCCACTACAGTGTAATAGAAAGATCAGAATATTCATATGACAGTGAGGCGAGTGAGGCGGATATGAAAAGGTCACAATTCATATATTCGACTATTTGTGAAGATGACTCCCTGCGTGCGTTTGCATAAGTGTGCACGCTTTCTTTTTCGTTAGTGCATGTGTCTGGAGCATGTGTGCGTGTGCTTGCGCATGCATGTCTTTGTAGCAATTAAGTTTTCTATGAACTAATAGTAAATTGTTAAAATTCAGCTATGAATAATCAGATGTTAACGGAATTTTTATTGCTTTCTATCTTTTCATGCTATTTATCGATTCACTTTTCTGTTTGTTCATTCAATCACCATTCAGTTTTATTTATTTATTATTTATTTATTGTGTCTGTCTTTGCAGCAGCAGCATGCCTAAAACCCATGGAGAACAGGAGAAGGAGAAATGGAAGAATGAGAAGGACAAGAAGGAGGAAATAAGACGGAACATGAAGAAAAATGTTCGGGCAAACCGCCAGGACCCGCACGCGCGTCGTCGCTCCAGCAGCGGTTCTTCAAGCGGGGGGTTTGGAGTCTTTGACTAGTCAAGGACAACGGCGTCATTGAGACCCTGACGGGAAACTGATTGAGGCTTTCAGTTTCGAAATTTATGAAAACTACATGTATTACTTGATAGTTTCAAGAAGTTTATCTAGGTTGAGGACAACCGTCTGTGGGTGTATTTGATCTGTAGATTTTGACAGCAAACTTTGCATCTGTATTGCTTTGTGTTAGGGTATCCTGTGTGATTTTAATGTAGAAATATATGTTAACAAAGAACAACAAACATAAACAACCATTTCATTTTTGGTCGGCATCGTTTGATGTCAAAGACCACCATCTGACTAGAAGTCAAACTATATCAGTGTAGAGGAAATTGACAGTCTGTTTCTCCAAGAATTCAACGTTGGGCTTTCAACCCCAGCAAACAGGCGACATGAACAAGCGTGTTGGTATTCCAGAACACGTCCTAGTGCAGCGGGACTTTGCTTTGTCTCTCCTAGACTGTGACATTCGATTATCTTGCTTGTTAATGAGTATAACATATTATAAGCTTAATTAACGTAAGGTCCCCTTGGGAGCCCAAATGATTCGTTTCTGTACAATGTAGGTGTGGTGTGGTGTGGCTAGGCCAAAAAATTAAAAAAAAACTTTTAAAAACTTTAGTCTAAAATCTAACAAATTGTCTTTTTATTCCCGATTTCCTATCACAAAAATTTACCACCCAGTGTGTTTTATTCAGTGTTCACGCTAAATATATAATAACAATAATAATAAAATAATAATAATAAATTTATTTATTTATCTGTTTTAGTCTAAAATCCAGTAAATGTTCAGACATAACCATAAAATTCATAAAAGTTTGCGTAGTGAGGATTTTTCAAAACGGACCACAAACTTGGGCCGTAACTAAGAAGCTGGAAAGCAGTAAAGGTGGTAGTTACACGGTAGTATTAAAAAGAATGTGGACTATCAACTGGAGAGTCCTTGCCTACACCACAGCTGCAGTTATCCCTACCAGGACCGCAGATTAATTATGTTTCTTCAGACAAAGTGCAAAATACATGCGTATACACACTATATCACAAAGCCAACCTAAAGCTACAATGTACTTACTGTTCACAGGGAGTAGGAATCAAACACTGTATATAAAAAGATGTCCTTTGGGCAAGGCATTTTCTTTAACGTTATTTTTACACATGGATACAGAACCACGGTAATATGATAAAGCAGGAAAAGGGATGCCTTCAATTAAGTAACTTCGAGGCGTTTAACATGATAAGGATGGCAAGCATGGTGCTCAACTGGACTAGGCTACCTTCACTAGCCACCGGCGTCGTGGACGGAGCGGAAGTGGTGGGCCTGGCGAGTATCGCAGGGATGGTGTCTAACCACAGGTTAATGCGCCGTGGTATGACGTCAGTTTTATTGATGATGACGTCACCGATGTCTAGATATTCTTCCCTCGTATACGTATACTCCGGCCATGGACTTGGAACAGTATCAGGGATGTTAGGGTTTCTGGAATGTTACAAAATATTGCAAAGCGTAAGTTGTACGCACTAGAATCGCTTATTTTAATTATTATTATACATAATATTAATAGTCTTGTCTCATTTTGCTGATTACCATAAATTCCTTAATCCAAGAAAAAGTGTGAAAAATATCCAGCAGAAGTAGATACACACATCTATACATCTTTAACGTTTAGGTATTCAAGCTTACCCAGTTTTTGCAAAGTTTGCCAAATAGGTCATAAAAGCTCTGGATGTGTTCCCCTCTATTCCTGTCAAGTTAGAGTTGAATTGAGCAGCACTATCAGGTCCTAACATGAAGGCGATATCGTCTCCGTGGTTCACCCCCTTAAACCAGTCTGGTACGGGTAGGAGATGCGGGAATGACGGCTCCTTGGTGAAATAGTAAAGAAAGGTGGAGCCACCGGGCGCTAAAAGATGACTTCTGAGAAAACCAACTGTGGGCACAGAAAAAAGGGTATCAGTATACAGGTTGACCATTAGACGTCCAGTCCTTTCCATGTCGGCATTTGCATCGTAGTAAACTTCTCTCAGTTTCTGTGCAATTTCATCTTTGTGATAGACGGACGCACCGGCAGCAAACTGAGGAATCAGGGTGTCCCTCATATAGGTGGGCGGCACACCAAAGGTGATGTTGATAGTTGGGAAAAAATGGTTGACTCCTCCATCAGAATCCGTAAATCCACCCATGTAATCCAACGAGAAAAAGTTTTTCATAACAGTTGAGTTGATATCTTTCAACATTTCCACCACAGGAAGAGGAAACATGTCGCCATCGACGACAGGTCCAAAAGGGTATGAGTTACGTCCTGGGAACATTGACTGGTCGGACGCTCTGAGCAAGGAGGTTGCATTGGTTGCACGGAGACAGGCGACCAATTTTGCCTTTTCCGATGCAGCGGCGTTACACCCAAGAGATTGGCCAACCTTGGTAGCGACCTGAGGTCCGTCTCTCACCCAGGCCCAATCACTTAGCGCGGTGCCACTCATGGATATAAAACGATGGAAAAGATCCCTGGAGGCTACCGTCATAGCTAGTTGTGAAACGATACAGCCACCTGCCGATTCCCCGAAAATAGTCACACTGGAAATGATAATTTAGATACATGCAATAAGTCGACACTTTTTTCATTAAATTTCGATCGATTGTTTAAAGTGTTACTTAAAAAGACTGACTCACATTTTACTTAAAGATCCACCAAATTACATATACAATGTAGGAAACAACCAATTGAGTACACGTTACTTAGCATTTTTTCCCCTTCGGTATAAATGATATCCGTTTTACATGTGGATTAAATATTATATTATTTACAGATAATGAGAATGAGATTATTTTTCTACTAGAAATATTTTTGTTTTGTACATGTATGTCTCACTACCAGTACACTGGCCTTTATAAGACGCCAGTGACTTGTGAGTGGTCGGTCTCGTCTGTTTTGTCTCACTCTCCCACGTATTAGGTTCAAATTTCAATGCGATATTTTACGTAAATGTAGATATATGTTAGGTATATTACTGTTTGTGCTTTTATATGTTAAATAAATGCATTTTGAGCTTACAATAACTTTGTAATATTATAATTAATCGTATTTGAAGAACGTAACTACTATGTAACGATTGCGTTTGCTTTACATTGGCTCACTACGTGCCTCGCCTACATGTATCTACCAGAGATTAAGCACGTACTTTTTAGGGTTTCCGCCAAAGTTTTCTATGTTGTCTTGCACCCATTTGAGTCCCTCTATTAGATCCCAAAGTCCAGCGTTACCAGGAGCGTTGACGTCACCAGTGGTCAAAAATCCAAATGGACCCAGGCGGTAGTTGACCGATACCACGATGACGTCAGTTTGTACCACTAATGACAAAGAAGATATTTCCGAATTTTTAATATAATTAAATGCATCTGTTATGCATGCGGTCTGAGAATCGTCCTGTTTTAGTCCAATTCTCTTTTCTGTCACTGACTGGAATCGTTTTTTGTCCATAACTTGCCATACGAACTGCACGAGTTATAGAGTTTGAAAATTAGAGTTTACCAAAATATCGAACACTATGACGTACCAAATTCATTAAAAAGGTAGATACTGGTTCCTCCGATGGTGAAAGCCCCGCCGTGTATCCAGACCATTACCGCCTTCCTGTTAGTGTTACTCACAGTCCCCGGGACAAACACATTCAGGGTTAGACAGTCTTCAGACAGCTGGGGTGAAAAAAATTATAAGTAAATAGTTAACGCTGCTGTCTATTAATGTCACGTTCAAAAAGTTTAACTAATCAAAACATTTAACAAAAAGCATCATTGTTCACACTTTCCCTCAATCACACTTAGGCCCTACGCCCGTGCGAACTTTTGAACTTACGGGTGTTGTTGTGATTTCGTGGCACTACCGTATGATTCTGTCGAAAAATATAGCCAGTCCATAGGATCCCCTGCCTTGATTCTGGCAAACACAACATAAATCTCTCCTTTTCATGTTTTACTTCTTAAACGCAACGACAATTATCACCTTACAATTTCCAGCTGATTGTTCCCTTAAATTAAAAATCTCACATGGTCTTTGAGTCCAGATCGACTTTAAATGCATCATTATGATATGAACGCTGAGCAAGCAAGCCCAGTTTAAAGGTGCTTTTATCTCTCTATTGACAATTTTGTTAAAGTGTTATAAGGACTTTCTTGGTACAATTAATACCTGTAGAAATTATACTATTACTTTTATGCATTTTTGAGGATATATAATTATGACCGGTTTGGGTGGGAAAACTGCTTGGCGTTACATGTACCATGGACGTGGACGTGAGAGAAAAGGGTACATCCCAAGCTTAGGAGTTCAGCTTATTATATTGACCTTTATACGAAATACAGTGCATTACTGGTTTTAACAAGAATGTAATATAATTAATTTTTCGACTAAAGTATAACAATTGTGGACTGCCAACTGGATCCAATCGGTGTTGTAAAAGACCTACCTCTATCCTCTCCAACTGGTAAATCTATGATGAAAATGGCACTTTATTTATACGACAGATCGCAAAGCGTTAGGATATGTTTTCCAAACGATAATCAAACGTTAGGCAAACGTTAAATATGCTAACCGATCGTTACAGATATTTCAGTGCGTTCAATGCGTCACGCTAGGTATTACTACATCCCAAATTTACACGATGATCGGTTGCTTAGTAGATTTTAACTTATGGGTACCCTTATAGCAAAGTACATAAATGCGGAAGGGGTGGCACTTTTATTTATTTATTTATTTATTTATTTATTTATTTATTTATTTTTGAGGGGGGATATAAATATGTGGCCAAAGAGGTAAAATATTAAGGTAAAATATTACATAAACTTTGTTAAAAAGCTTTAATTAAGACTTTTCGAATGCAACAGCAGACATGCTCTCTCTCTCTCTCTCTCTCTCTCTCCACCGTCTAAATACCTGAACATTGTAAGGAATGAAGACAGTCCTGTCAGTGGTATTCTGCATACACGCCGCACCGAAAGCGGTGGTCTGCTTAACCCCAGTCCAGTTAGAGGGCGGCTGTGGTTTCATAAACCTCAGAGCTCCTACAGGTGGTTCAGCAAAAGGAATCCCTAAAAACTGATTCACAGAATGCCCCGCTACTGTTTTCACAAGTCCTTGTATCACACCATTTTTCGTGGTAACTTGAGGCTGGGCCGCCGCGGCAGATATACAGTATAATGCGAGAGTCAGAACCGATGATGACGCCATGCTAAAAGTAATATGCTGCAACAAACCTACCGTCCCAATGGGAGTGTTCTAGATTAGTACCAAAGAATACATGGTAGGTCACCCGTGCGACGACAAAATTACTTGATTTTACTAACCTTAAGCTATTTCTAGAGGCTTCGTCATCTACAGTCACGGCTATTGAACTGCACGAATGTTTGAGCATCGTTGTCGTAGTTGAGAAAATTTCTCAACAAACGCAATCAGGGCCACTACTGGCAGAACTATGATAATTGCAATTGTATGTTTAGAAAGCGTTTCATTATACCGGTGTATTACGAATTTCACTGTGATGGACGCGTTTGTCAGAATTATATAAATTAAGACGAAATAATGTGTTTTCTTTGTGAGATTATTTATTAATTTTTTGCGTACACTACATGAGCTGTTTGCATTACATATGGTATATAGCACCCTAATATCGACGTTTTGATGTCATGCTAGCAAATGTATCAGTTTTAACAGCATTTGAACATGAAATATGAATCAAATCTACTCCATAAAGGCCGCGATGGACTTTACGAATAGCCTGCAGTTCAGACTGGACGCCTGACGTCGAGACTGGTCTCTGCAGTCTTCCCACACTCCTCTTTTCTTGAAGCAGAACAGTTTTGTTGTGGCAGTGGCGGTGGATGCAGTCTAACATGGGACAATTTAAAAAAAGAACATAGTTTAAAATTTTACAGAACACCATTATTGTACAATGTACAACATTCAAGCGAGGTAAATGAAAATGATACATATACAACTGAAGTTTGCATATTCTAAATCCGTTTGTACTTTTATTTTACCATGTATATACCGACACAGAAGTCAAACAACGTGCCATACATTTGCTTTAAGCAATAGATATCTTTCCAACAGAACACAAGGAATAAACGTTTGAACACTTAAAAAATGACAGTCAAAGCACGTACATGTAAATCCATGCCATACATATATAGTCCATACAGTATTTTTATACTTGTGTTATCAGCAATTTTTAGGTCTAAGCATATTCCTATTGTCTAGAAAATGAACGCATTTTGCAAATGGGCCGATTGCAATCACTCAATTTTATTTCCACGCAATAGTGATTTTGCAGATACTTACAACAAACCCTTTGTCTACGACGCCCATATTGCTAAACTTGGCATCAGTAAAAAAACTCGGGTTTCCATCCCTCAACTTATTGACCAATCTGCGGCAGAGCGCGGCAAAGTCGGTCTCAGTGAGGGTACCTCCAACGGCACCGGCAGTTGTCAAACTGGAGAACACATGGAACATTTGGAATTACCCAGCAAGATGCTTTTATCATTTATAAATCAGTTGATAGGTGTTGCTGTATTCAGGCTTGCATTCATAAGACGTATAAAACAGATAAAACATACACCTGAACTATTATTTATTTATTTTTTTATTAAACAACATAGAGTTATTGCACAAGGAATGCTGCCCTACATGTAACTGTTATGTACCTGAGTCAACGCCATGAGTAAGTGCAAAGTGGACAATATGAAAAATTTTAACATGCAAGCTTTGACTCACCAAAAATGAAAAATTGCATATTCAGATATACGCATCTTACCCACATTAAGACATATAGCGTTTACCTACCGCAAGTTATGACAAAGGAGGTGTGGTCTGATGTACGGGGTCTCTGGAGTGAGAACAGGGAGCTGCCATTGATCCTCGCTTTGTGCCACCAGGGAAAAGGATGGCCGGTCGCACACTAATGTTTTATCTTCAACGTCAAACTCAACGTTTTTAGCGAACTCTCGTCTCGCATATTCCTTGAAAAACTCAGCTGCAGTGAGGAAATACTTTTTAATCAACATTTAGATGCCTTTAAAATGGACTTAAGATTTGATAAGGCTAAAAATAACAAGTGATTTTATTATAAAACTTTCCGCTGGTGAAATCATGGTACTTTTATAAAGTGAATTCATTATTTCACCTAACAAAAAGTTATTTCGAAGGGCCCCACAACAATAATTTTTGAGTATGTGCCTGCACACACATACACAAATTAAGATTAAATATGCTTACATACAAAATGAAATAAGAATTTCAAAGCTTTCTGCTGAATTAATCATTTCACCTCATAAAAAGTTCTTTGAAAAAGCTCACAACAATACTTTTTGAGTGTGTGCATGCAATACACACACACAAACACACACACACACACACACACACATCACTGGCGGATTAAGAGGAGTGTCGGGGGGGGGGGGGGGTCCTGACCCCCCTTTCAATTTCTGAAAAAAAAAACACTCATATGGTCCCCTCTTGAAATTAGAATTTTGACTAGCTGAACCATAGTTCTAAACCGTACCAAGCCGCACCGTTCACCGGCACCGGCACCCTCTAAATTACCAAATTTGTTGGGAGCCTTCACCGGGTCCCGAACCCCGCGCCAAGTTTAAGGCGGTGGGGTGGGGGGTGGCTTTGCATCCACGGACCCCCCTTCAAATATCCGCCCCTGCACACAAGCATGCCCGAACCCACACGCAAATCTATTGCTTTAATCATGTTATTTAGTTGGCGTTGGGAAACTAACGGTGGCAGTGTCCATGTAAAATGCCGTCCGGCGTCGTCCACCGATTGTCCACGCATCTAACTCTGGCGTCAGTTTCAACTTCACAGGGGGCTATGTCCGAACAGTCCGAGTTGCAGGCCAGTTCGTTACACTTGAAAGGCCGTAGGTTCCTGGGGACGTCAGAGAGCCTAAATTGTCTAACAGCGCCATCAGCGGAGACAAACAGCGCCTGGATAGAAACGGCGTGTAGTCACGTAAAGTGAGACACCCGTGCAAAATAAAGCATCTTCAATGGTTAACACAGATATCTGATAAAAATTCGACAAAGGGAATTTAGGCGGGGAAATTATTCCATTGCATGATGTAGTATTTTGTCATGGGATTGTTAATTCATTCCGCTCTCATGCAACGACACGGACCTTTGATCCCAGTGTCCAAGGCTGGTAGTCGATTGCCTTTTCAGAAAAAAAAATTAAATGTTTTTTCCTCAATAGTATGTCGGCCAAAGTCACGATGAAAACTTTAACATGCCAATATGAAGCGTTTGCCTACTCACCACTAAAACTACCACTTGTATTGGCTCCATCACTTTGATATTGCACACAATATGTACACGCCGGATACAGCTGTCGTTAGAGAAGAACAAACCCTGCGCTATCGTATCTGTTATATAGAGGTGGACAGATGTAATTAAAGTTCCCACTGGAAAGCTGCTTAAAATTGCAACACATAAATTTGCCAATGTCAGACAACTTGGTGAGTGAGTTCAGGTTAATGTCCAATTGTTGATCTCATGTGACATTGAATTAAAACTGATTTTGCAACATAACGTCTAAAACGCTGTTCACATAGTAAACGAAGACTGAAAATGAATTTTAATAGGAGAAGTTAAGACTTGAACCCGCCGAATAATTTTAAAGAATCTAAATTAAACATTCGTCAATTTAATACGCTTTAAGACAAAAATGTCGGTGCATAATGCCCACTCACTTTTTATTTGTCTATTTTTGCGTATTGCTTGTTGTTCTTTGTCATGACGTCTGTCTTTCTCTTCCGATCTTATATATTTTTGTTCTATCTGATTTCATACGAAAGAGTCGCCTTTGTCTCCATGGTCCCTTTCACGATAAATAAACTACACTGTTTTTTAAAAATAGGAACATAATTTGAAATGAAAGGGAGAAAATAAAAGAAGGAGAAAGAAGCACTGTTGTATCAGGACTGGCAGTGACTCATGCAGGTAATATTACACCGAACATACAGAAAAGCAACACGCATGGGGTAATTCTTCTGTCTATCGGCATTGTAAACTTTACATGACATGCAAATTGCCTAATTTTTAATGACAAAATAGAGCACGGCAACGAATACAATTTATCTAAATAGCATTTTAAATTAAATGTAATTTAGTCTCTACGATAAACCTGGTCAATTTCCTTGTTAATTGTATCTTGAAGCCCCGTCTATCTAACGATATGAACTCATAAATTGATCTTGACCATGATTTACTGCATGTTAATTATTATTCCACTCAAACTATGTCATTGAAATCTAGCAACTATACAGGATGCAACATGGCTGTTTAGTTATGTAAGTGGTAAATGCTTTGGATGAGTTTACGGTTGAGTTAGGCGAAAAGGACAAAAGCCAATGATGGATCCGTAATTTTGTAGCAATGATAATAATAAATTTAGTGTGGATTCTTCTGAAAATGTTGATAGTGGTATGGTCTGAACGAGCGTTGGTGACCTTTGTACTCACCAGAAGCTACACATGCACACTGCTGGTTGAAACTATCCTCTGCATGGACTACCGCACTCTGATACGAAATATGTAACAGTTCGCCTTGAAACGGCAATCCGTCTGGCATTGACTGCAATTATGTGATTCCTAATACCAATGGCATGGCTTCAGCTATAGTTTGGAGGAGGTCAGATCGCATCGACTCCGACAGACTGCTTTATATCAAGGCAAAACACACCTTTTATGGATGTTTTATAACCAAGTTACTGGTAGAAACCTATATTCGGGTATCCTTTAAAATTCATTTTTAAAACTTAAAAACTTTACTTTGGAGCTTATATCCGTTGACATGACCATATATTTAACCTAAGGCTAAAAACATATACAGATCTTTAAGGGTCATTTAAAGCGAGTTGGCATGTCAAATTTCTACAGAAATCCGACCAAATGCCACCACATAGTTTCAAGTTATTCTGGTGAGAATGATGCCATATACAGTAGTTGACTGGGGTCTTGGCCAGTGTATTAACACATGAATGTTGCACTGAATTTCATTCATTTGTGAATGTAGATGTAAGTATAAGAAAATCAGACAATTTTCTTCGGTTCACTTAGCATTTTGTTCAATAGCTTCATTAGTGCAAATTCAAATTATTTTCAGCTCTGTACATTTACAGACTAAAACTTAATTAAAAATCTTTATCAAAAACATTTGAATCCACTTCTGATTGCCTTCCGGTTGACAACTTCGTTTGCAGCGTCATTTAGATGGTGCTTACGCCGGTCTCGTTCAGAGATATGAACTTCCGGCCAGATTATTACCCAAGGCAATCTAATTTGCATATAAGAGAAAAATGCAGTATTTTCTTGATTTTGAGTTATGTACACATTTCCCGTTATCCTCAAAAAGAAAAGCATCTTTATGCTAAAAAAAACTTTGAAAGATGTGATCGACACGCACTGTTTATTAATCACATCACTGTAAGAAAAAAATTGGTATCACAAACGTGAATCACGTTTCCACGCCCAAGTCATAAAATTGTTAAATAGCGCTGATAACTGCACTTGCCCAAAGTAGGTCAATTGCCTGTATAAAAATCCCATACGGTTATCGATTTTTGTGTATGGACGTTTTTTCGGGGAAACACAAAAGAGAAAATTATCAAAATGCCAGCAAAATATTTAGGACTCCTGGAACCACTGAAAAGCAGAGTATATTAAAAACTTTATAAAGGACGAAAAACTGACCAAATTCTCCAGTTTTGCGCCTTAAAACTTTGCAGATATCTTGGCAGAATCTATATTTCACCTCACTCTCCCCGAAATGTTGCAGACCGTGTTAACAGCTTCGCTGTAGAGAAACGCGGGATACGAACCAGCAAACGATAGAGTTGAAGGAAAAAGGGGCAGGATTGGGTGGATGTAGGTGGCGGGAGAGAGGAGGGGGGGGGGCGGAGGCTTACTCCCGTCATTTTTCCAGTCATGTCAGTCTTTAGAGCTAGATGCGTAAACTTGTGTGTGTGTGTGGGGGGGGGGGGGGGGGGGGGGGGGCGCCCATTTTTATGCCGCGTGAATATATAGCCTACATATGGGAATAAGTCATAAAATTTAATATTCTAACAGTGGAAATAATTTTTTAACACCTCGAGAAAAAAGTAGGCCTACTTGATTGAATTTTCCCTTGAATATATGCTTTTTATGGTATGATACTTATATATTATACGGGTATTACTGCAAATCGACGCTCCACAACACCTAAATCCCATCCTCTGCCCCTTTCTGTGAGTTTTAGTGTCTACTTCTTAAATAAACCACGTCAATACTCAAGAGTGCATAGTGCCATACAGTGAAAAGGAAGCCATGCCCGATATGTGTACTGTGGATGTACCAGCAAGGAAGGCAGATGTTGTTGTAAATAACTGGCCAGTCTTTTAGAACAAAATTATGAAATCAAAGATTGTATTAAATATCGAATCCTAATACAGGGACGGGTCTTCGTATAGATAACCTTTGAATAAAACAAATTTAGAAATTTTAAAACTATTTTAAAACCATTATTTAATACCTCCTGTCTTTCTTTTAAGGATAAAAACTCTTCGTATGAAATTCATACTTCCCAATAAATACATTGTTAACAACCTATAGAAATATTATTATTATAGAAATATTAACTTATAGAAGTATTCTGGAATCTTTGCTTGCCACGTTACCTCACGTATAAATGTGAAAAACATAGGCCTATATATTATACAAATTTCTGTGGCACATACTAAGTTTTATATTGGATCATCAAGTCAAAAGAATTTTTTTGGCAAAATGTATTAGTAAAACAGAGGGCAAACATGATCTTTTCCTAGACGCAGGCACTGACATACAACTGAAAGTAATGGAAAAGTTTGTTGTGCTGAGTATTCTCGCACCGCCTCCATTTTTCCACACAACTGAGAGAGAGAGAGAGAGAAAGAGAGAGGGAGAGAGAGATTATTTTAATAAAGGGTTGGAGAGCTTATAAGGCATTTAAGAACAAAGTAGGGGACCTTATATGACCTGCTTCGTGTGTGACACGTAATGTACCAGTATGTGAGAGACAATCACGACTTGTTATAATTCCAGCTGGAAACTGTTTGCTATCTTAATATTTATTTTGTCATTGGCGAATGCATATTTGTTAAAGTTATACAATTCATTTAGTAAACAGAACACGCGGAGATAGATTGTCACAAACTGATAGTGCTATCAAAAATTAATAAAACCTGCAATATGTTAGAGTGTATTTCACCTAAGAGGCAAACCATCAGCTCACTGTCATTACGTTTAGATGGGACAACAACACACGGCAAAATGCAACTGAAGACCGTCTTGACCGAGCGTTATAAAAGAGTAACATTTTGGACCGCGTTCTCTCTGTTACTTCTGTACACTGTTATTGTATGGAACGTCTTAGTATGGCTGATCCTGCCAGACAATGAGGGGTGAGTAACATATCATGATTTTTGTAAACAGGTAAAGACTGGGCAAAATTTTCATAGCGTGGTCATTTGATTGTATAATAAGGTTATTGTACACAATCTATAATAGATGAAATGAACACAAGAAATCTGTGACTGTACTACTAGGCAAAAGCAGCTATGCCATCTGAGCATGTTATACACACTGGTCACAGCAATGACTGGAATTAAACTAAAATTCTTCAATCCGAGTCATCCGACATCCCACCGAAGATACGAGAGGCAATCAACGTCAGCTGTCACCAAGCACCCAGAAATTGGGGTGGCGGGCAGGGGGCATGGTCAAACTGAGATTTATAAAAGGGATCTAGCCGCTATATCACCTAGTGGATAGTGAGTGACGCTTTTTACTGACATCAGTCTGATGAAGGCCTCCGACCAGGTTGACCATAAGCTAACACAGTTAGAAATTTCCAGCTTCTGTTCAGTACAGGAATTGAATGGGATACAACTCCTTGGTTCATAGATCCAATATATTGGATCCTAGCTTGGTTCATTTAACCATAATGTTATAGGTAAAAACTTAGTTTAAAGCCTCATTTTCTTAATATTTTCCAAATATAAAAGATCATGCCTTTTAAAATGTACTGCTGGTCTCTCTATGAATCTGTTTGATCTTGAATCTATCTTTCCTCTCTGAGGTCTGTTTTACGAAAAATGTATTTTTTGACTTGGATAAAATTTTGTGTACTGTCGGGGGCAGGGGGGTTGTACTGGTACAGGGGAGTAGGCCTATTGGTGGTGTGGTGGAGTGTCGGTGCAGGGACATGTCGGTGCGGGGCAGTATGGGGAGAGGGGGACGTAACCCAACAATTCGCCTGTTCTCTAGATTTCTACGGAGGCCCTTCTAGCTGTTACAGAAACCGTTCAATCAGTTTTGTAACCGTAAGGATATCTGGTTGAGAACAAACTGCTAGAGGGTCACAAAATAAATAGCCTTTGTTTTTATTTGTGAACCAATGCTTACAGTTCTTCCGGTAAAAATGTCATTGGAAGCATACTTTAAAATTGTTTTATGTGGATCTCTCTGAATCATCATTCAGAATTGACAATGCAGCCACAACTAGACCTTTCCTTCCTGCTTCACCTTCCATACTATGTGCTGTGAGCCTACCCTCTACCAGGACCGCAGTTATTATTGTGGACATTTTTGGCTGAAGCGAAGTGAAGCTGACATCAGACCAAAATGACTGTCTATTTATCTAGAGACATAGGGGAGACCGGGGCTAGTTGGCCCGGTCAGACACTTTTGGAATGAGTTAGAGTAAAGCCAGCCCCATGAACTAAGCTACGTATGCAACGTTCGTCATTATTTTTTTTAATATAATACCAGATGGCTCATAATTTGACAAAAAAAAAGAAAAAAACGCAATTGACGTCAGGAAAATAAAGTAAGTATCTCATGTAAACGCCTTGAAATACATTTTTACACATTTCTTATTTATTAAATTGATTTTTGAGAGTCTTTGATGAACATATAGTTCAAATGAGGCAGATTTATTGAGGGTTCCGTAAGACACACTGTATGTGCTGCGAGAACCAACATACATGTATCTATTAATAAAACTTGTTTTCTTTTAATTAAGAATACGTTAATAAGGGTATAAAGCAGGTTTTTAATGAATGAAAATGAATAATAAATTTTCGTTTTAAAAGAAACTAACAAATTCAGTTTAAAACTGGTAATTATTTAACAAACCATTGAATTTGTTTAAACAATGGTCTCTTGCTCTGTTGCGCGCAAAGGATTGTGGGTAATATGAGGGCCCAACTTGCCCCGAGTCAAGGGGGCCATCTAGCCCCGGGTGCACATTATTTATTTTAAAGGCTGGCAGCCATTTATGGTGCTAGAATGAGCAACGACGATACATCTCAGTGAAACCTGTAACAAAGAGCTTCTGTTTGATGCCCTATACAAATATTATATTCGATCAAAAGCCTATGAAAATAGATTTTTAAATCTCTTAGACCCCATTCCCAGAGATTAAATCGATCCAACTAGATCGACCTAACTTCCTTGGGGGTTCACGCTAAATAACTGTCAGCCGAGCGGGCACGAAAGCTAATTACCCCCTTACAGCTTGCAGTAGGCGGGACCAAGAAGTTATAACTTCTTTATAACTTCTTGGCGGGACGGACATTTAAGCCGGATTATCTGACAGTAATCTAGTAAGACTCCCCACGGGGATAGATCGATCTAAAAACTATGGGAATGCGCCCTTAAACAAGATTACTATTAGGTGCAAAAATCGTTTATTTGAACTCACCGCTTAATTAAAACTTTTTAACTTTTTAGCATTGTAGGCTACGGTCACTTCACGAGAGTATGTGGCCAATTTTTTTTTTTAACCTCGTAGTTACTTTTTCGTAATTTGACGGGGGGCCAACTTACCCCGGGGTTCGCCCCGGTCTCCCCTATCTGTGAATATCTGTGGAAAATCAATCTGTCGGCCTGGTAGAGGGTATTGTGAGTCTAGCGTAGAGACAGCAGGCGCTCTTAGGCCGGGAAACGAAACGTGGACCCCCTTTCTCTAAACACATCGGTGGAGAGCACTAAAGCGTTAGATCACCTGTTTATAGTTATAATACTGACCAGATGAAGTGTCGATATAAAAATTGATGTGTGATCTAAATTTGATTTAAAAATTGCAGGATCCAAAAAGATGACGATAGAGCAGCCTCGCATAAAAGACAACATGCTGCTAACCCAAGATACCGGGCACGAAGTCTTCTGGACGTCTGGAACGCCTCCGTCACGTCCATGCCATGTACCCCAAAGGAACACGTCCTGTTCATCAAAGTTCCCAAGTGCGGTAGTTCTACCCTTTCCAGTATTATTCTAAGATATGGATTCCGGCACAGCTTAAAAACGGCGCTCCCTCTTGGCAGTAAGTTTAACTTGGTTTCCTTGCTGAGAAGTCTGAACGACAGCGATCATCAACGTGATAAGCATGACATATTCGCAAGCCACGTAAGATATAAGGTTGTCAAAGATCATGAGCACCTCGTACCAAATGATGCCTTTTATGTGACAATTATTAGAGAACCACTGAGTGCCTTTAAATCTTTTTTTAATTATCGTCATAAGGGAGCATACTTTGGACTCGAAGGGAAAAACCAGCTGGAAATGTTTTTTTCTAACTCATCATTATATACATCCCCTGAGGCAGCCAGATTTTGGAACCGAATGATACGTTACCTTGGGTTTAAGGTTCCGGCCAACACCACCCAAAGCACTCCCCACGCAGTAGAGGAGGCCAGGCAATATGTATACCACATAGACCGAGAATTTGATTTTGTAATAGTTTTGGAATATTTTGAGGAATGCCTGATACTGCTGAAGAGAATGCTGTGCTGGGGAACACATGAATTTTTCTACACTCAGCAAAAAACTGGCTCTTCTTTTTCAGAGGATTATAACTCGGCTGTTAAAGAAGTCGATGATCCAACGGTAGTTAAAAGATACAGAGAGCTGAGCTATGCCGACTATATTCTCTACGACTACTTTAAGTTGAGGATTGAAAAAGTGCTCGAAAACCAAAATACTGATTTCTTCAATGAAGTCCGTAATTTTAAGGCAGTGAATAGAAAGGTGGCGGAATTTTGTCAAAGTAACGCAACCTTTGGAGAAACATTGGAAATGCCACCGTCAAAATGGACCAGCGGGTTTATCATGAGGAAGGAGTACTGTCGTCTGCTCACGTTTGGTGTTAAGAAATATATCAAATTTTTAGAAAAAAAGAAATTTCATGTAGTATGATGCTGGAAAAAAAAACAAGCAAGTCCATGGTACTTAATGCTTGGTTCCTTTCGTGTAGAAAAGTTTTATTAGTTATGTTATTGTAATAGATTTGTGAAGATTCTTTTTGTCTACAGCCACTTATATTTGTCTGGTCTTACCAGCCAATATTTCATCTGCGTGCAGTCAGACTTCATCAGGGAATGAGGTTGTGATAGTTGTGACAACACCAGGAACAAACAGGGCATTGTATAACATAAACAACCCTAGAAGACATAAAAATCTTGGGAAGAGAGCCACGGGACCTACACCGGAAAGTTCTTAAAGCGATTAACATCCGCTTACATGGGGCCAAGCTGAACCGGAATGATGGGACTGAGCTACCCAATCTCTACCTACCACTCCTAAGGGAGGGGCAGGCAAGGGGGGATCTGACCAAATAGCACACCAGAGGGGGTGATAGGTTGTCACACCTATCACAACCTCATTCCCTGATGAAGTCTGACTGCAAGCAGATGAATTATAGGCTGGTAAGACCAGACAAATATAAGTAGCTATAGACAAAAGAATCTTCACAAGTCTATTGGTCCCTTTCATTCTTTTCCCGCTTGATGATCATACAAGGGACACTCGTAAATTTGCTAAAACGGGTGATATGCTTTTATTTATATAAATATCTTTTGTGTTCACGCCGTCTTTTCACACGTAACGTTATTTTGTCGTCTGGGTAAACCTACCGCCATCCGACAAAAATATTTCTGCATTATGTACTGCGTACATGTAAGTTTTTGTCAACAATAAATGACCAAATGATAGAAAACACTTATAAACCTTTATTTTTCATAATAATTATTTCATATAGCATAATACTAGTAGTTAAAATGAAAATATTAATCAAAATATTTAACAATGAATCTTGAAACAGAAAAGTATTTAAATAATAAATGCCTTCCAAATCATCACATCTGTCATGTAGAACAAGTGTTACATTGAAACTGTTGATTTACAGTCTGTTCTGTTGACACATTAAACAACAACCTAATCAACTGAAGACTGAAGAATACAAAAGAGTATAAAATACATCTGGGAACATTATGCAATCAAAATGTAGTGGTAATCACAGAAGGCCTTTGAGCACTAACACAAGTAGAAAAGTAGAAAGTAACAATAGCTTAGTAAATGATTGGTAACATTCAACATATGGTGATAGTAAAAAATAAAATTGTTTTAAACTGCTATACTGAATACAACATATGGATAAAATTGATATGAGTCAAAATGGATGGTTTTAATAGAATAAGTGCAAAAGATCAACTCACCATGACCATGCTATGTACATTCAAACAAAACCTGAACCGTGCTGACTGTTATTTCAACAGGTAAATAAATTTGTCCTTTTGATTTTTGCTTTATAAAAATACTATAACCTTAAACTTGCATAAGATGTGGACAAAAGTGGTGTGCACATGTGTGAGTGTGTGCATGCAGCATATGCAAGTCGTCAATTTTTATTGCTAAACAAAACTGGTACCCTACATTTCTGCCATATGGGTCACATACTGTAAGCCTGCCACTAGCCATTCAAACCTAATCCAGCTGCTTCAGTCAAAGTATGTTCACTAAAGTCCTCCACAAGGACTACAAAATGACCAACACTGAAAGTGGTAAGTTACAGTATCCTCATCCTCATTCTTTTTGGCCAATTCATTGTGCACACACAACTTTGATCAAATAAACCTCAAGCACACTTACACCCCATTTCCATAGATTTTTAGATCGATCTATCCCTGTGGGGAGTCTCACTAGATTACTGTCAGCTTGGCCGGCTTAAGCGTCTGTCCCGCCTACTAAAAGCTGTAAGGGGGTAATTAACTATGGTGCCCGCTCGGCTGACTGCAATTTAGCGTGAACCCCCAGGGAGTTAGGTCGACCTAAAACTTAATCTTTAGATCGATCTAAATCTCTGGGAAAGCACCCTTAGACATTAACACACTGTATGTTCTCTAGCAAAGGAGTTACAGCAGCTGTTGATGGTTGTTCATTTGTTATAAATGTACAAAATATGTGGTGAAAATGTATGTGCTATTTCTGCAATCATGTACATATCACATGCTCATGGTGCCTAATATGTGGGACAAACTGCACAATGACATCTAACAGTCACAGTTTTAATCGGTGGTTACAAAATTAGTAGTCTTTGAGTATGATCACAGCTATATATATATAGAGTATACTAGTGGTGAAAGTTAGTTTCAGCTGTGTAAATGACCACTTTACAGCAGTCTACTGGGACACGGAGGGCGTCTCAAACACTCCACACATCATGTTGGCTGGTACAGCACGGTCTGAAAACACNAAAGCACCCTTAGACATTAACACACTGTATGTTCTCTAGCAAAGGAGTTACAGCAGCTGTTGATGGTTGTTCATTTGTTATAAATGTACAAAATATGTGGTGAAAATGTATGTGCTATTTCTGCAATCATGTACATATCACATGCTCATGGTGCCTAATATGTGGGACAAACTGCACAATGACATCTAACAGTCACAGTTTTAATCGGTGGTTACAAAATTAGTAGTCTTTGAGTATGATCACAGCTATATATATATAGAGTATACTAGTGGTGAAAGTTAGTTTCAGCTGTGTAAATGACCACTTTACAGCAGTCTACTGGGACACGGAGGGCGTCTCAAACACTCCACACATCATGTTGGCTGGTACAGCACGGTCTGAAAACACACCAAAGCAAATGATCCAAACATCAATAAGAATAAGATTTGAAATTTATAAACACAAATATCAATAAGAACAAGATTTGAAATTTATAAACACAAATATCAATAAGAATAAGATTTGAATTTTATAAACATAAATATCAATAATGATAAGATATGAAAATTTTAATACAAATATCAAAAATGATAACATTTGAAAAATTAACAGAAATATCAATAATGATACAATTTGAAATTTATAAATACAAATATCAATTTATGATAGATTTGAAATTTATAAACATATTCTCAAAATACATGTGCACATTTAACATGCTCTTCAGGATTGCAGATATTCTGAGGGTCATATCCATGAACTTTACACCAAAAGAAATAATTCTTAAAACGAATTTTTTTTTAAATTACACCTAACCCTACATATTAGGTAGCATACTTTGGCCAGACTTGTTACTGACCACAATGACCACTCTTTTATCACTCAACTCTGGCTCAGTATAAGTGCTCGGCACAGTGCTGGCTTTAAGATTGCCTATAGCAGGGCATGGCAGCTTACCTATCTGCTTGGGATAGTTAAGGTTCAGGTTGTTCATAATGTTGGCAAACTCTTCCTTGGACTTGGTCAGCCTGGGATTGAACTTCAGTTCTTCCCCAACAGAGGTGACAGTCCGGCCTGGTGGAGAGAGGGTTCATTATCAGTTGTATGAGAGAGAGAGAGAGTTAAACATTTGAATAAAATCTCATAATGCAGTTTGATAGTCTCTTAATGGTATATTATTTTCAAATGAAAGCTGTCATAAACAATTTACATAGAAAGCATATCATTTCAAATTATACTGAAGACATGAACATTTTGATTACTTGCACTAAACTGTTGAATGAATATATGAAAAAAAGTAAGAGCTTACTCTTCAATGTATTTTTATATATACATATGCAAATATGTGTAAACAAAATTATTACTTCATCTATACAATGCAACAAAGCTATGTCCATTTCATTTATCCACTTAATTATAGCAAGGTTAATTAGCTCTATAAAGAACACTCTAAAGATTTTGTCAAAACATCAAAAACTATGTTCACTTAAACATTCATACACACATGCATTGCATGCACACACGCATGCACACATACCGGTATGCATACACACAGTATTCGATGCTTTGTCACTATAATTTACAACCTGTTGGTGACATTTCTAAGTTTACCTTTGTAGTCATGTGCAGGGTACAGCAGACAGTCCTGGGGCAATGACAAGATCTGTGTGTGTACAGATTCATACAAGGTCAGAGGGCTACCTACAACATACAGATATACAAGATATAATGTGTGTGTGTAAAATGGCCATCATCCTGTAAAAGCATGCATTTTTTACTGTACTGGAAAAAAATCTGCTATAAAATTTTGCATTTTCTTGAAATGCATAAAAATACAGGGTGTAAATGACACCCTCATTTTTTGACATTTAACATTTCAATGTTTTTATCACCGTTTTCATTATTCTAATATTTAACATTAGAAAACTGTACAAATTTTATACGAAAGTTATGTTTTAGCATGAGGGAAAAATGCCTGAGGGAAAAAAACATATGAATTTCTCAAAAATTCTTTTGCCAAAGAAAATGATAATCAAATGTCCAAAATTTCAACTTGAGTTAAGCTGCTAAAAGAAGTGGACTGGAGTGACCCAGTGGAAACCTTGCTGAAAGTCTGTCCTTCCACAGCCACGGATTAGCAGAGCATCTCCAGTGAAGGCACGCGACTTATCATTCAGTACATAGGTCATGCAACCTAAAGGTAAACAAAATTGAGTAAATATCATTCCTAGAAAACACTGTTAAATTTTTTCTACTTTCTTTTCTTTTGATGCATGATAAGGTCTGAATTCTACATGGTTAACAAAATAATTTTTTAAAAAAATCATTTGTTCTTGCATTTTTCTACATTTTGTTTCCTGGAATTATCTGAATTCAGAATATTTATGAAATATTGCCCTGTTAACAAGATCTACAAGAAATTTTGAATGAAATAAGAATATCCCATTATGTATCATATAGGGAAAGCTACATGTAGTTCCTCATCAAAACACTTTACCATAGTATATATATATATATATATATATATATATATATATATATATTAGTAATATCAAAAAGTATTCCTTAAAATTTTCCATAGTTACCATTAGTATGCCCAGGTGTGCTCCTGGCTTCCAAGTGGTATTTCCCAAATTCCACTTTGTCCCCGTTGTTCAAAAACATGTCTGCCTTGGCCCCAGCTGCCTTGGAGATGACACTCTTGCAGCCACCAATCCTCTTCTTCAGTTCTCCTGTGCCTGTCACGTGGTCTGCATGGACGTGGGTGTTCACTGGAGCACAGAAAGGAAAATGTTTTGTATGTTACAGCCATGTACACACCCAGTCATTCACACACACACACACACACACACACGCATGCACACACACATGTACTGATATATGCACGCTACGTGAAGGCTCTCTATATATAAGGATTAAACCCTACTGTATACACACTTGTATAAATTCACAGTCACAAACTTGCTGCATGTACCTGCATATTTCAGTGTAAGTCCCAGCTCCTCTACTAGCTGTGCATCTCTTTCTGCTGTCTCCATCACAGGGTCTATGATGACTGCCTCCTTGGTCTCTTCATCTGCTAGGATGTATGTGTAGGTGGAGGAAACACTCTCAAAGAGCTGTGAATGGAGAGGAGAAGTCTTACAAATAAATCAGAATTTCATGAGATATATAGCATGATGAAACTATATAACATTTAATCTAGCTTATTTTACACGTGTTGGAGATACTGCTTGAATATTTATTTATTTAATAGTGATATTTTCTCCCCCTTCATCCAACTGTCTTTTATTTGCTTTAAGAACCAAAAGTTGCAGTGACTAAAAAGTGAATGGCACTTTTGTGTTTGTACATAAAAAAAACCTAAATTAAGTGAAATAAATGTTAGTAAAAATAGAATCATGCATATGCCTAGATGTACCAAATTTTGATCCTAAGAAATTTAACCTGTACATGTGTCCTAGGCCAAAAAGTTACATCAGCAGATTTCAGCTAAAACATTTACCATTTGGATGACACACCAGAGTCCACAGATCAATACAAAATTATTGAAAAAATCTACATCAAAAATATACAGAATAATCTGATTGTGCCCATTTTTAAATTTCAGCAGCATTTTACTTTTCTTTCATGAGTATCAGTTACTGTGAGTATAAATATCAGGGGCGGATCCAGAGATATTTTCTGAGAGTCTTCCCACTTATCTCTGTTGTTCCATCCTCCATTTTTGACCGTCTTCCGACAGAAAAAATTAGATAACCATCAGTGTAAACTTGAAAATCTGACCGTCTTCCGGAAGACCCAGAAGACGGCCTAAATCCGCCCCTGAATATAAATGGTACAGTACTTCCCATTAACTGTGGCAACAAGAATAGTGCACATGAAGCCCTGACTTCAGCAGTGCATACAGACAGTCACACTAGCACCTTTTGACTGAAGGCACACATATCTCATTTCACAGTGTTTGAATGATAAAATGTGTCTGGTCAAAACCTAAAGAAAGTACACTGATACTGCTATATTATATTTCACTATGGTTGAATAAAACAGAGCTTGAATTAAACCTATGGAAAGAAACTGGATATATTCAATTTACTGCCAAGACAAGTCTCGTGAACAGAAATCCATGAGCTGCGGGATGCAGACTCCTTACTGTCGGCAGTCATTTTATATGCTGCACACCTCAATGGGTTTTTAAGATAACTCTCCTTGTGACTTGTAAAGTAAGTAAACCCCTCACTACCCCTGTATGTACTCCCTCAGTTGTGACCAAATCACAGTGGCTGGAGAGAGCATACACACACACACACACACACACACACACACACACACACATATATGGCCCAGAGTTCAGTTGTTAATGCAAGCACCTACTATTTAAAATTTATTTCAGTGAATGCCAATTTCAACAAGACAAAACATGACAGTTGTTTATCACAGAAAGCTGATTATATTGTTCATATTTATAAATATATATAACTCTACCTATAACAGCTGATATTTTGAATTTCACCTACTAGTATTTAAAACTTAAAACAATTAAGTGGGGGCTCGGGAGGAATATGGAATAAACTACTGTGTACCTTTTGCTTTCTACCTAAATGTCACTGGCTTGGCTTAAAATAATGAATTTTAATGAATGATGTTGCTGTTTACATTTGTTATCTTAAGCTTTAAACCAACATTTGAACAGGATTATCATATATTAAGGCAACAGTGTTAAGGTTAATTGGAAGAGAAGAAAATTCATATGTCCGGCAGTGATTCAGTAAACTGCAATGTTTAATTTTCCCTTAAAAAGATTAAAAACTGTTTAGAATCACATGACAAGACTAATTTTGCTGGGATGGATGTTCATGCAAAACAACAATTCATTAAACACTGCTGCAAAAAGAACACCTTCATTCAATTCCATGATCATGAATATAACAAGCAAATACAATGAACAAAGGCAGATCTAAAGATTTCTTATTGGGATCAAATATTTCCGCACGTAAATTTTGATGTATTTTATGATGCAATTATTTTAAAAAACCAGCTGAGAATAAAACACCGAAAAACAATGAGCACAGTTAGAATGCCAAAAAGATAATGTTGTGAGAGAGTGGTTGAAATGTGTGTATATACTAGTACAGTATAAAATTATACATGAAATACCTACAAAAATTTCACATCCTCCTTCTTACCTGTCGAAATATGAGTCCCATAATTAGGTTCTACTGTGTTGACCAGCTACTATCAGCTTTTCTGAAAAGTTAAAATGAAAACTTTTAATTTTCTGAACACTGGAGCTTTATACATGTACTTTACCTTCAGTTGATAATCTTAGAATATATTTTATATAGGGATATGTGATTTTAGTTAATTTCTGTCAGAAATCTGCTTTTAGATGATAGGAATCTCAGGCTTGGCATGTACAGATGGATTGATCTATGGCCCCATTCAGAATTACATGTATAGGGGACTTAATAGTCCGCGGGTCAAATATGGCAACCGACTACAATTAAAGCTTGCCGTCCAATCCGCTAACAGACACTGAATAGATACCCCATGGGGAAGTATCCAAGTGGGTCTGCCATATTTGGCCCTTGGACGAGTTAGTCCCTTATTCTGAATGGGGACTATGGTATGTCATAAAGTTGCAACCCCCCCCCCCACCCCCATGGGATGTGCCTGGGTGGAGTGTTTAAATCAGAATATTGTTCGAAGGTAATACACTAAGTAAACAGTTTCCTAACTGAACTGTTTATACTAACCTGTTGTTATATTTATTCACCATACTTTACAGGGGCGGATCCAGTAAGGGGGGCCAGAACAACAGGCCTTGGATGCGAAGCTGACCATCGCCTTATGAGAGTGGCTTTCGAAAAAAAAATTTGGTGCTTTGGGGAACAAACAGTGCTCCCTTTCGTACCCTCCCCCCCCCCCCCCCCCTCTAAATCCGCCACTGCTTACGCTATATAGCAAAGTGACGTTGCTGATACTTTTGCTATACCCTCTGATATCAGGGGCCTCTAATTGCTAAAATAGGATACATAATTAAACATAGGCGATACAATATATGATTTTGTAACGATTACTATCGAAATCTGTGGTAAGAGAGTACTTTAACTATACATGCGTAGGTATAAACTAGAACTCCACTAACAGTAACACGTCGGTTCACGCGCACTGTTAATTATAAACATTGCTGCTAATACTAGTACATGTAGAGCTCCGTCTACACGCACTTATAATACTGTACATTTTGTACTGAATGCATATCATATAGGCCTACCGTTTGTGCTCTGGTCGTTCCAAAATTCCACAACCTGCGTTGACAGCTGTAATCAGTATTTGTTACGTTACAACTGTAGATCGGTGTTTTCTATTCATTGATTACCTGTATCTGTTGGTTCTGTGTCACTTGGCCGTGTCACCTTGATGCAGGAATCGTGACAAGTGAGGTCCTGCCTCTAGAGGTCGCTTTGTATTCGAGAACCTACCCAGGCCACGCTCGGCTGTCACCTTGATTGGTTCGAAATCGATTGTCGTAAAATCGTTACATGCACGAGGTGGGTCGTGGGTACCCTCTGACCCACTAAAATAGGCCTACTGAACAAAATCATACCACACGCTTTTCTACATTTTGTACTACAGAAGTCCCATCACATAACAGTCATCACATGTAGCCTACACCAGTTCTCCGCAATCTTCATTGGCTACCATACAGTGTCTCAAAGAATAGTCTATAAAATCAAGGAGTTATATAGTCTGTTATAACTCCTTGATTTAAAATAGACCTATTACTCTTGACTTTTAAATTTTTTAATGGGCAACTGTCCAATTTACATCCCCTCCTGTTTGGAATACCTAACTTTCAAATGGGAAAAGTTAAGTCTTTTCGGAATTCAGCAGCTGGTCTCCCCCGAAAAACTCAGAAGTAGGGCCTACCACCAACATAATAGCCTAATGTTTTTATGTCCAAGCAACAGTCTATAAGATATCTTTCTTGACTTTTAAATTTTCAAAGGACGACTGTCCACTTAACTTATCAATAAAATAGCCAATGGTCAACTTCAACTTACGCAAAATGATAAAAAAAGACTCTTACAGCAAATGGAAGCAGGAGTTTTGAGACTACTGCACCAATTTTAACGGTTTCATTGGTTATTTTCGATACCCGTAACAAAAATGCAAATTTTATTTCCCATGATGCGTGAAATGTTCATTTTTTAGCGTGATTCGTGAAGCACCTTATTCCCTTTACTCGTGAATGCCGCTTTTTATTCTCCACCCTTCGTGAGACGAATGTATTAGGTACAATTCGTGATTATCAGGATTTTCTTCGCGCATCATTGATGAGATATGACTATATTTATATTTCCTGTTATTTGTAGAATGTTGATTTTTATTTCCAGTGAACTAGGATCAAGTCCCCACCCCCAATGGGACCCTCCTTTCCTGGTCCAATTTCATTTATATCTAAGATCTAATATACCACCGTTTATTAGATCTTAGTTTATATCAAATGTCACTTTTAATGATGCTTATCATTGTTTTAAAAAGAATGTTTAAAAACCTTTTCATTTAAAGAACATTTTTGTTAACTAGTATCTTTGAGTTTAATTATTTATATGTTAATTTTTAATTTATCTCTGTAGTTTTAGTCTTTTGGGACGCGTGTGTAGCGCATTCTAAAGAATTGAATTGCTATTGTTATTATTATTATTATTATTATTATTAACCAGTGATTGATAATTTAGATATCACAAAATTGTTAATAATTATTTTGTACAATTTTCTAACAGATAGAAGACTATACAGGCCCGTAGCCAGGGGGGGTTCGGGGGGTTCGAAAGAACCACCCCTTTTGCTGGGAAAAGGTCCATTCTGGGTAAAATTTGATCTAGGTACATGTAGTTTTTATGGTAAAAGGTCCACTTTTTCAGAAAAAGAACCCCCCTTTTGAAATTGCTGGCTACGGGCCTGACTATATGTATGGTGGATGGTGGAGAGACATGCTAGATGTAAGTAACCCTATGCATCTGGACGCTCGTAATCAATATCAAAGTAAGGGCAATCTGATGGACTCGGAGAACTGTGGGGAAACTCCCATTTTTTATCCTTGTGCTTTAATATGTAGATGGATTCTGCTTACTTGTGTCTGCTGTCGCTGACATGTGGTGGCTGCGATGCTGACATTTGGACGCTGGGGTGGCGGCACTGCCGGCCGGCCTACGGCCCCGACATGTGAACAGGACGACGGTTTTCAGAAAGTCTGCAGTCGTTTCTTTCTTTCTTTTCTTTTTTTTTTTTCATGTAGGGCCTACATACATATGTGCATATATACCAATGAGATCGAACTAAATAAAGGTGACAAGCTTGAATTGTCATCGGCAGGGTTCTTTATTTTCAGTATTTTGGATATTTTGAGCTTAGACATAGACTAATATTACGTAGGCCCTAATTTTATCCTTATTTTGAGTGAGAACCGGGGATAAAGGAGACGGGGACGGGAATTAAGGGGTGGTGGGTGGGGAAGGGACCCCTCTATTTGTACTCCAAAGTGTCACTTCGACTTTTAATTGAATTTCTGTTTTACTTTGTGAAAAGATTACCGGATTTTTCTTCAGACATGGATATAGGCCTACATTGTACTGAGTAGGCCCTACATGCACGTATTAGTTATTGTTTTCTATAAACGTTATCAATATTAGATGAAATGCTTCAGCTGAATCAACTGAGATTGAGAGTAGGTCAAAGTATTGTAAAACCAAGCCTACTGATATAGATTATTGATGTACAGATCTAGAAGGTGCACGTACGTAGCCTAGGTGTTTAGCACTCTGGCTCATGACGACACCTAGAACGCTTGGCTCGCGACACCGAGGCTTTCTGTAGCTGCTTGTCCTAACTCGACACGCATGCGTATTTGAATACTTCCTGGTTATGGAAGTTCGACTGCTAGTACAGCTGTACGCCTGTAGAAAATAATCCCCCGTCTCTGATTAATTTATCTGAGTGGACGTGGCATACGCTGGAGGGTGGTATGGATTAGAAAGGAGGCGTACAAAGGTACGTAAAACGCCATATAAATTATCACTTGATAAATTCTGCATCTGAAAATAAAATGATGATTTGTGGTCTCGTGACTTGTGTGGTCAACATTAATTGATCACTGGAACAAAAAAGAAATGCCGGCTGTCAGCCAAGCAAGCTTCACTGAGATATTCAGTCAGCGGTGAGCTCTGTGCCACCCGTCATTCTGAAGGCAAATTTTTCACTGATATCTCTAGGAATATTAGACATGCAAGTCAGCAGGTATCTTACATTACAGACTACATTATATACTGTACAGGTAGCCTGACCCTAGCCGCTACTTGTACAAGTTACGTGTACTAGTGTTGTTTTGTTGTTGTTTGCTTATTGGTTTTATGTAATATTGGTAAACTGCAGGTCTGTCATTTCACATGTATATCAAGTATGGCTTTTTGTGTGCTGATGATGCACGGTAACATCTGGACATGCACAGTTGCACTACATGTAAACCAACTGCAGGCCAGAAAGCAGAGAGTTACTAAATAAATTTAATTTTTTTTATCCACATTTCAAAGGTGATTTTCTTTTGCCTTATAGTGAATCTATATTCTGCTCCATACTTCATGCAGGGGATTAAAGTCTGGGGTAGATACAACTGTATGTTGCAAGCTTTATTTTAGTTTGAATCTGAAGGCTTTATGGCCCTTGACAAACCTAATTGAAAATTAAACTGAGAGAGGACTCTTATTTTGTTCAGTTTATACCTTACAGAACTGAAAGGTTCAAAATTTAATGAAAAATGTTAAACAATGAACATAATGTATTTATTTATATAGGTAGATACACTGTAGTTGTATGTTAAAAGTGTCAGTAAGTGTATTTTCATTACGTAAAGTATAAAGGTGGCTTGATGTTATTAAGTTATTGATAAAACTGCTATATTGCCGTTGACATTTAGTGATGTTTTTAGGCAATGGAAGTGTTCAGATTGATAACATTAATCTAGAACTGCAGTCATGTGTAATCTAGCTCTCACTTACTAAAATAAAACTATATACAGACATATAGATATGTTTTCAGGTTATCAATCATCCAGTGAATTACACATACCTAGTTAAGACTGTTATGCTGAAATGAATAATTATATTTTCTTTGACTGGGTTCCTATACCTATATTGATCTATTGCCAAGGGGATTCTCTCTAAATTGCTTTCAGCTTACGGGGCTTAGATGTCTGGCACGCCTACTGAAGCTGCTAAAAGATAGTTAATTACCCCCTAGCAGCTTCAGTACTAGTAGGCGTGACAGACATCAAAATGGTGTTGCCTGACAGTTCAGTGAGTAGATATTCAGTCACTTGAGTATTTATAAAATGTAATTTCAGGAATGATGTAAACTTGGAGATCAGCCCTATATAATGGCTTGTGTATACTCAGTTTGGGTCCTGTATGCTGTTCTCCTGGTGTGGTATGTCAACGCCCAGAACGCCCAGAATGCCCAGCTGGATACCAATTATGTGGGGACAGTGTTCAAGGGGAAATCTCACACCTATGCCTTCAATGTGTTTCTGAATGAGGTAAGGGACAGGGGGTGACTGTTTTTGGGCATGAGATTATTTTATTTTATTCTAGCTGGCTTTTTATATACAGACACAGTCTGTCTTTACATTATAACCATCACCTGTGTCTGTCAGTGGTGGGGGTGTCATTGTGGACATTGTTTTTGTCATCACAGTGTGCTGTGTGCCATCAACACAATTTATGGAAAACAGTGTGACTTAAAA